CCGGAGCACCCCAAAGTTTGGGTGTGTTTGCCCCTTGGGAGCCGCCAGCGGCCCAGGTGCACTCGGGTTGTTTTGAATGCAAACTTGACATCGCAGCGAGGGCGGCGGGGAACAACATATGCACAGTAAACAGGCAGACTGTCATATTGATTAACAGATGAGACCTCTATTATCGATCAGCTCTTGGCGAGAAAATTTATCACTTTTAATTTCACCGCTGCCAAATATTTCTGCCTGCGAGCCAGCCGTTACCGAGACAATTTAAAGGCAAAGGAATTCTCTTTCCAATGCATCTTGTGATGCCTCTCTCCCTGTCGCCTTCTCTGCCCACCTTTCCCCAGACCCCACCCTGACTGTGGGCTGGAGGGCTCGGTGGGGTAGGAAGGAGAGGGCAGAGGCAGTGTGGACCCCTGAAAATGGGCAGCACAGCATTCTGCGAGGCAGTGCCCTCACCTTGAGTCCTGCTCTGGAACATTTTGTTCCTCACAACAGATGAATCAAACCTTGAAATGGGGCCGTGGCTTTGTCCCACAATGCTGTTGGATATGGTGTGTCATTAATCTGGTTTCTTCTAGAAGCTACTTATCTGCTGCTGGGCATCCTGGGTTTTTCCTTGCCCAAACCAGCAGCACATTGATTGTAATTTTCTAAGAATTGCCCCAAATCCCACATCTCTTTCCAATAGTCTGAGATGACTCTGAGCTTCTTGCTCAGTTGTTGCATTCCAGCCACATCCCTCATCAGGTGCATCTTTGGGTACCAGCAACACCAGCCACGATGGGAAGGAACAGGAAACCAATTGCAATTGGATAAGTTGCAGTGCTAATGAAATGCATTGATATTGTAATGATTTTAAAAAATAATAATAATCTTTTCCTGGCAAGCAGCTCTGTATTTTGCTGTGATGTGCAAGGAACAGGAGCACAGGGCTGAATGAGGCACTGCTTTAGCTGGCTGCACAGGGGACACTGAGCATGAAACCCCTCCATGCACGGGAGTGTTAATGGCAGCAGCAGTGTGCAGGTGCATGCTCAGGTGTGCATCCTTCTGTCCCTGGAGTAACGCTGCTGTCCCTCTCTCTCCCCAGCGGGTGCCAAGGCCCTGGTCTGCGATCAGTGTGGCGCCCAGTTCTCGAAGGAAGACGCCCTGGAGACGCACCGGCAGACGCACACTGGTACGTGGCCTCCCCTTCCACCTTCACTTAGGTGCAGGCTCTAACATTTGGGCTGCCTTTGTCACCCTTTGCCCAACAGAGAGCTGGACCTTCTGCAGTTCCTGCCTCTGTGCTGCCCAGGCAGCCCCAGCTCCTCCTACACTAAAGCACAGCCTAAGGCACCAGTTGGTGCAGTGCTGTTACAGCGCTGCTCAGCCTTAACATGGGAAACAATGACAGAACAAATGTGAGGTCGTTTGCCCCCTTTGCAAGCAAAGCTTGTTCCCGTCCAAACACCTCCCAGAAGTTGGTTTCTGCCATGTTTCTGCTCTGGCACTTCCCAACCCCTCAGTGATGCCACCATCAGGAACACAAGGATCTCTTCAGCCTCTTGCAAAAGCTGCCGTGCTTGGGAAAGGTTTGCCTGGGGGAATTCACAGCCGGGCAGACCCAGGTGGAGCCCTTCACCCTCCAAATCCAGACTGGAGCAGGACAGAGCGCCTGCTCCTCCTGTGCTATATTGGGAGCAGTTTAACTGAGCACAGGCTCATCTTTCAGTGCTGAAAGCCCTGATAGAAATGCCACTGGCAGTGAGTTTGTGCTCGGGGCTGGCACAGAGAACCTGCCCGACTTCACGCTGGGGGTGTGAGGACGGATGCAAAGTGCTGTGTCACCGGCTGCCACCAGGTCATGGAGCTGTGCTGGCCAAACACCACTCCATAAATCTTAAAGTACTTGCCCTCCCTGTCCATGCCCTTACAGCTGGAGGCTGGGTTTGGCCACTCCAGGTCTGTTTTGAAGCCCTCTATGCGTGGGCTGAGGAGACAGGCTGTGAAGGGCAGCCAGCACAGTGAGGGACTGGCTGCACAGGGCTGAGCAACCCAAGCCCAGGCAGGGGGGTCAAAGTGGCCAAGTAAAAAGCAAATCGCAGCTAGCTCCCCCTTTCCTTCTATTTCCCAGACCCACTGAGCATCATGGGCTCACAAGTGGGAGCCCAGCCATGGAGCTGAATGATGCCTGCACCCCAAACCATCCTGCAGATGCAGAGCAGTTTGGCTAACAACCCTGGCATTCCTGTAGGGATTGAACCTGCTTTGGCTGGTGAATCCTTGGGGCTGGGTTGTGCCAAAGCTCAAAGATCAATGGGCAACCAGAGCAGGGGGACACAGTGACCCAAGGGGAGCTTGTCATTATTGCCTCCAGCTGCTTTGAATGATGGTAACACAAAGCCAGGCTGTTGTACATGTGCTGCATCAAGCACTGCTCATCTCCACAGCAGAAAACTAACACCCCACTTCCTGAGGCAAGGCAAAAAACAAGAATAAATTTAAAAAACAGTTCCTACTTGTAAGCACGGCGCTGGCAGGGCTGTGTGCAGCCCCATAGACACGGGGCTGAGACGCCCTCTCCGGGTGTGCACTGTCCTTGGCCCCCGTCCCGCTGCAATAGGAAAAGCAGCAACTGTTTTGGCTCATCTTCCAGAAGCACGGGCTTGGTGCTGGGGAAGAGAGCATGGAAAATTCCTTACCCTTCTCCTCAAATGTAGAGGAAAAAACAGAATGCATTGAGATGGCAGCCTGAGTAGCCCCAGGCAGCACCGCTGGGAGTCGGGATGCGCACACGAGCGGTGCTGGTGCTAACGGGCTTTGGGCTCGTGCCGACGTTTATAAATATCAGAGGTGACTCGTCTCGAGTTTCCTCCCGTGTGCCAAGGCAGTTAGCGCACGGCAGCCGGTGTCAGTCAGCAGGACAGCGCAGATTTACTCCTGACCCAGTTTCGCGTGGGCATGAGCAACACCCACTACAGAGCACGTTTGCATCAGCAAGTAGTTGGAGTTTTTGATTTGTGGGGTTGGCATGCCCCCAGCCGCGCCACTAAGGATGGAGCAGGACCCTTCACACTCCCTTGCCCCCATCCCCTGGATGCATTCCCTTCCTACATCCCATACTCTCATCCTCATATCCCTCGTATCCTCTGTCCTGAGACACCGGTAGCAGAAAATAATTAATAAAACCAACATGTAACTGAAAATTGAAAAGCTCTATATCTCCCCCCCTTTTCTTCCCCCCTGGTTTTTTCTTTTGCTGGGATGTTGGTAGCGTTTTGATTTAATAGTTGGCCAAACACAAGGGTCTATTTTATTCAGAGTTTACAGGCCTCAGGGCTGTTATTCCTCCAAATTTAATAGCATTGAAATTGCAGGGTTGGCGATAATTTGCCTATCACTTTCTGCTCTCCCATTGATGTTTATTGTCAGCGGGATGGAATCTCAATCCGATTCACTTAGATAACATGTCTGTTAAACATTTAGATAATTGTGCCATCATTAACTTGTCACATTATTTTAGAGATTCAAAACAGTCGTGCAGTATAAGCGGAGGTACAAAGGGAGAAAGATCTGGCGCGTGAGAGCAGAACCCGGGAGCAGAGGTGGCAGGATGCCCCCGCGCTGTCTCCCATGGCAAGCGTTGCTCAACGACCGCACGGGGATTTTTAAAAATTTTTAAATTATTTTTGCTTTTTATGCCAGTGCTCTTGGTGTTTTTCCATAGAAGAGCATCCCAGCAACCCCATAACTGTCTTGGGTTTGCCAAGGAATGCGTGGGAGCCCGGAGGAGGTGGAGGGGGCATTGCGCCGGAGCTGCACTGTCACACAGGCACACACCACCCCTGTTCTTGGCAAATGTACATCAAGTCAAATTTATTACATATTTGTCTTATCTCCTCACATTTGCTTTGCTTTCTCTGTCTCAAAATGGTTCCAGCCCAAAACCTTGCAGTGATGCTGCAGATGTATGGCACACTGCTACTTCCAGTGTGGAAATGACAGATTTTGAGCAAGTGGAACATAACACGTGAGTTTGGTGATGTGAGCTATAAATCACACTGAAAAACAAATTCTGTTTGCCTCACACTCGGTGTGGCACCATGATTAATGGTCAGGCCAGCGCTTCACTGGGATGCTGGCATGACTCTGCCAGTGGCTGGGGCTTGTCTCAGTGGTGCCACTGGCCACCAACAGCCATCTGCAATGTCCCTGCTCCAGCAGCAGATTTGGGAGATGTTGTTTGTGGCTTGTCCTGCTGCATCCTCTTCCACAGTTTGATCAAAGCAATGGCACAAGCAGCCAGCACAAGCAGCTGGCACACTTCCTTACCAAAACCAGCCTGGCATCTTCCTGGGCTGCCTGTGCCTTTCTGTTACTGTTTCACAGGACTCAGGAGGGTTTTCTGAGAGCAACCCAGTGAGACTTTGGGGGAAATGCCTCTGGATCATGGTTTTTCTCCATAGCTAGAGATAACGCACTGTAGCATTAAGTATGCTTAGAGGTAATTATCCCTGCGCAGCCCCAGCGGGGGAGGGTGTGCTGGCGATGCCGTGTGCGGCGGACAGTCGATGCTTCGCACATTTTCTCTTGGTGCAAGAGTGGATTCTGGACGCTCAGGTGCCGGCCCCAGCTCACAGAGGGTCTGGGGGCAGTGGGTCCTAGGGGTGCAGCACAGAGCCCCTTTGTCTGACAGTAATGTCCTGTGACAGCACTTGAAATCTGAGTCCTGGCGCGCATTCCTGCAGCCGGGAATCTCCCTGCCTCCCAAACCACGGCTGCCCTTGCCACTTTGACAGCAAATGGCAGCAAGAGTTCCCTGTGCTCCTGGGTGCACACATGGGGAAATGTGATGAGGCCAGGCATCGTGCAAGCTGGTGGATTCACCAAAAGCAGCGAGGAGGTGGGAGCGTGGCGGAGCCGTGCAGCCACGATGGCATCGGGGCCAATGGTCTGCCTTTAATTTTCCTGTGCAAATACTATTTAAAGCACGATGAGAAAAGCCCTCTCACTAAGCTACGGAGAAATCTTTCTTGTCCTTTAATTCTAGATGAAGGGGATTAGTGTGAACATATTTAACCTCTGACCCATGGACAAAAGCATTATCAAATTTAGTTGCCAAGTGGCTCCCCATTTAACCAAACCAGTGCAGTATCACTGCAAGATTTTTCCCTCCCTCCCTTGAAAGCTTTAACATCTATTGTTGCCCTGGAGCACCGGAGGGCCTTGGCTTGGCTGCCTTCCTTTGCTGGCATTCAGGGTGCTGGTCAGAGCCCCATAGGGGAACACAGCATGACATGGTACTCACTGCTAGAACCCACGAAGGCTTCACAAAGCCAGCCTCCCAAAAAGAAAAGCCTTCTGTAAATGGGGCTGGTTTCTCCCTGGTTTCTGCATGCCCAACTCAGTGCTGGCCATGTGCTGACCTGTGGTGGCACAGAGGATGCTTGGCCATCTCTCCAGAGCACAGAGAGGGGTCTCTGTCCCCCTTTGCTCTGGAGCACAAGGGATCAGCTATGGCAAGCTTGAGGATGCTCAGCATTTCCATGCTGGGCTTTATAAAAGCGGGATGAAGCACGGTCTGAGAGGCGGCCGGGGTCTCCTGGTCCAGCAGAGGAATGCCGAGAGGGGCCTCCCGTCAGGAGCCGGTGTCCGTTTACAGTGCATCTCTCATAAACCCGGCGGCGGGGGCGAGGGCAGGGGGACCGGCCCTCCTGGTATGTGATTGATTATCTGGTATTTATGCCATTGAGGACTTTTCAGCGGCTCGGGGTCAGGGGGTCATCTCATGTGTCTTGCTGCAAATCCGCTTCCTTTTGTACAGTGCGGGCTGGGTGAGCAGACACACAAAAACAGCTTTTTCTTTTCCTTGGGAAAAAGGGGAGGGGGGCGGGCTGGTGTCAATGAATTTTTTTTTTCAGCCTTTCCTGAATAGTGTCCTTTTTAATTCCAAAGAACTTTTAATTAAAAGTAGCAGGAAAGTTCATCTCGACAAGGTTTAACTTACCTTAGCAGTTACTTTTGTCCCCCAGGATTCGCGTCTCCCCGCTGTACAAAAACCCCCAACAACTGGGGGCCAGGCCGCGCTCGGTGCCGCTCCACATCTCCCCGGCTTTGCCGATGGGGCCTTTTCATCTTTTCTCTTTTTTTAATGATGGGGGTGCAGGAATAATAAGCAGATGCTGCGAGTCCCAG